AAAAAAATAACTGGGGAAAAACTGAAACTATACTAAAATACAGTTTCACAAATGGAACTGAAATAAAATACAAATACATTTTAGTTATTGGTATATTATAAAACTACAACTAACTATGATAAAATGAAACCTAAACTAAACTGAAAAGACTAATTTGAAATAAAATTGAAATAAAAACTAAATTAAAAATTCTAAACTAGAACAAAAGCACAAGCATGTATGAAACAAATAGCCCACCCTTTTTTTATATCTTTTAAATAAAAGATAAATAAGTGTGTGTGTACTGCTAGTGTAATTACTGCAGCTAATCAGAGCACTTAACAGCAAAGCTTCTGTTCATTTAGTTACCCATCCGTTCACACACACACACACACACACACACACACACACGCACACACGCACACCCATCAGGCTCTTATCGTTCCCCTTCCTGTCTATCACCCCCCCCACACAAGGAGAGAATAAGGATTGCTGTGTGTGTGACAGTCTTTTGAGAGTGTTTTCTGTTAGATAAAGAGAGCAATTAAATCAAACTTGAAAAGGGTTGCCAGATAAGCAATAAAATCCCTAATAAAAACAGCACTGTGAGAGGAGTGTAATAAAGACGCCCAGCTGAGGGTTAACAAGTACTTCACACTTGGCACTTCATCATAAAACGCACAGCTAAGAAGCAAAATAAAATAAATTAAAAAGAGAGAATAATTTGAAATTGTTAACCTTTGACTGAGTTTTACAGCCTCAGTCCAAAAAAGCAACAACTCGTTTTCACTCAGGTTTCAAGCTGTCAGGCCGAAAACACATCGACATATCACAATTTCATGTACTCTGTTTTCAATCAGAAAAACAGACAGAAAAAGAAAGAGCAATTTCAGAAATCATTTAACTTTTAGTGCATACTCATTCAGAAAACAAATGATTTCTTCAAGAAAGAGGGAGGAGACGGGCTGGAAGAGGTGAGAGAGACTGACAGCTACTGAGGAAGAGACAGCAAGTGAAAGAGACTGATAAAGAAAAGAAAGAGGGCTGCTGCATGCCTTCAGATGCCCACAAGTTTGAAAGGTGTGCCAAAGACTGTGTGTGTGTGCAAACCAATCTAGAAAACAATGTTCTTTAATTAATCTTTAAACAGCTCATGACAAAGTCACTTTCAGTATGAATTTACTATTCAAACATGACTCATATTTTACAGACACTTCATAGACTATAAAATGAAGTAAAAGCAATAAGCTAGTAGCTGTGGAACTGAGTAGTTGGTTTCTAGCTGGTTCACACCAAGGATGATAACTATAATAATAACAATACCTATTAACTTCTAATAATAGACCTAGCCCTTAATCAGTTTAGACATCATACTGAATTTAATGCGGATTAAAACAAGGCTGTGAGGGATAGACTTACAGTCTTTGCACCGTATAAACTAAAGGTCCTAGATCATGTAATTTTCACAACTTACATCTTTTAAAAATGTTTTATAGAGTTTTTGTGTACCGAATGTTTTTTGGAAAGATGTTTTGTGAGCTGAACAATCGGTATGTTGTTAAACAACACTGCTATCCATTGAACGCACTATATTTCTATTTCTCACAGTCTCGTTTTCATTCCTGTGGGAATATGGTGCTATAGGAAAGTCCACACCACACCTACAACATCACTGGAATCACTTTCAGAATGATTTTTGGCTTTTAGAACATGTTGGCTGGTCAATAGGCAGCGTAAGCTGAATTTTTAGACTATGGTGAGATCAACAGCAGTTTCCAAATTCTAAATAGTTCATCCATGTAAATCAAGAGTGCTGGTTCTTGTTTTTATAAACGGCACCTTCCTCCTTTAGCTGGAGCTTCTTCTAAATCAAACCAAAGTTCTTGCAAAAAGGTTCTCTGTTTCAGCACTGCTTAATCAGTCACACATATGGCTGCTCTGGAATAGTTTAGATGAGAATGAGAATGTTTTAGATAGTCATGGTAACGTGAAGACCTCCTGTTGAGCCAGATTGAACCCTGTCACCACCAATTTTACAGCCATGAAAGACATGAACCATAACAATCTCCACTTGATTGTAGAGTCTTTTCTTGAGAAAGAGTGAAGAGTTCAACAGTAAAACAAAAGAAAGTTGTGTGTGTGTTTACAGTAAGTGCAACAGTTGGGTTCTAGGTGGATGCTGCACACTGGTGGTGGTAGAGGAGATTCCCCCCTTCTATGTAAAGCGCTTTGAGTACCCAGAAAAGCGCTGTATAAATGTAAGGAATTATTATTAATTATTATTCTATAAGTAAAAGCCATTTATTTTCACCATAGAGATATTTATTTTGCTTTCTATTAAACTTAAAACTTACTGAATTTATGACTGAAAGTCAATAGCTTTATACTGCACCATCATTTGCTAAGCTTCGCTGGATGAGTAATTTATTATTAACAGTTCTAAGTACTTTTTAATATGGATTTAAACCAAAAGTTTGTAATGTGATATATGTCGGTGTCAAGGTTGCCTTCTGTGGCGAAACAAAGAACGAGGAGACGTGGGATAAACTTAAAGTAACTGTCTTTCAATCATCCAAGACGGGGTAAAGCAAGGCAGGCAGG